AGGAAAAAAGAGTGATGAACTACTTCCAAATATTCAGTCACTGAAAACCTTACGAATAGCAGAGAAACACTGTCAAATACAGTGCTAGAAAATGAGCCCCTCAGGTTGGAAGGCACTCAAAATGCAACTGGGGAAGAGCTGCCTCCTCAACGTAGAGTTGACCGTGATAAAGCAAATGGAATAAAGCCTGCAGGACCTTCATTTGCTGATGGGCACAACTCAAAATGAAGAGAAACAGCTGTATACATCCACTGAAAATCGAAGATGTAATGTGCGAAGTACGAATCTGGAAAAAATTGGAAATTGTCAAAAATGAAATGGAACGCATCAACATCAATATCTTAGGCATTAGTGAGCTGAAATGGACTGGTACTGGCCATTTTGAATCTGACAATCACATGGTTTATTAGGCCGGAAATGACAAATTGAAGAGGAATGGTGTAGCATTCATTGACAAAAAGAACATACCCAGATCAGTCATGAGGTACAATGCTGTCTGTGATAGGATAATAGCCATGAGTCTACAGGGAAGCCCAGTTAATACCACTATTATTCAAATTTATGCACCAACCACTAAAGCCAGTGAGGATGAAATAGAAGAATTCTACCAACTTCTTCAATCTGAAATTGATCAAACATGCAATCAAGATGTATTGATCATTACTGGTGACTGCAATGCAAAGGTTGGGAGCAAAGAGGAAGGATCAGTAATTGGAAAACATGGCCTTGGTGATAGAAATGATGCTGGAGAATGCATGATAGAATTCTGCAAAATCACTTATTTGTTTATTTCAAACACCTTCTTTAGACAGCATAGGAGGCGACTATACACAAGGACCTCACCAGATAGAATACACAGAAATCAAATCGAGTACATCTGTGGAAAGAGAAAATGGAAAAGATCCATATTATCAGTAAAAACAAGGCCAGGGCAGACTGTGGAACAGATCATCAATTACTCATATGCAAACTCAAACTGAAGAACATCCTGCATTAAGAAAGCAAAAAGTCATTAAGAAGAAAAAAAGAAAAGGTCAAAATGGATGTTAGAAGAGACATTGAAACTTGCTCTCCAGCGTAGAGATGCCAAAGCAAATGAAGAAATGAGGAGGTTCAAGAGCTGAACAGAAAATTTCAAAGATCAGCTC